CTTTGGGAGGGGATTGTGTCATTGTATATTGGGCCCTCTTTCTCTGTGTTATTTCTTATCCCTTTCTCACACAAATTTTCCATTGCGTGTGGGTTTGAACTTTGCTCGCCGTTGGGTAGGTTTTCGCTTACCTGCTACTGTCGGCGGACGCAGCGGGAACGGCATTGTCCCGGACCTTGAGAGGAGGAGACACATGTACGGCTACAAGCTCATTTTGTGTTCAATCTGATATATCGATCGCCTTGGGATTCACTGGCTTCCTTTTCCGGGTGAGGTGGCATTATCGGCCGGAGGAATCGATTGGAGGGCGGAGGCAGTTCCATGGAGCGAAGGAGTTGTTTCTGCGGCATACCTGAATAAGTTTCAAGGTTTTCATAGAAGCAGAACGGTTCAGCAGAAGCTTCATCACTGGCTCCGGCAACCATCCGAAGACGAAATTTGTTTTGTTTCTGCTAGTTGATGTTTAGAATGAGTATTTTGTTGTGCTGATTGAATTGTCTGTTTAATTTGGTCATACTACACTGAGGAAGACCGCCCAATAACGGGTGGAATTTTACCTGGATGGGGTGTTATCCAAACACCTACAAAAGCGAAACGTATAATTTACCTTGATCCCCYCAAACGTGATCAATACGGGGCCAACAACCAATTCCCATTTTAAGCTCTCATCAAACCGGTTYCCATTTTACATTAGGTGTAAATTTGCTTTTACACCCCAAGCAAACATAGCCTTAAAAATACATTTTTGAATAGCATCTCACAAAAACCTCCTTCTCTTCTTATTTCTCACACATGTGGTTGTTTATTTTTAAACTAAATGATTAAAAATGTAATAATTCAAAATAAAAACTCTCTTAAGTCTCAATTTTCTGTAATAAAATTGATCATTACTCTCTTTAATAAGATTATTGTTAAAACTCTCTCTCTCTCTCTCACGACCCCTTTTTTATCTCAATAAATTAGATGAATTAGGTTAGGTTAAGTGCCAATCAATGACTAAACCCAAATTGAGACGAAAAACCTAAATTTATCAATCAAAACCTAACTTCTATTAAGCMATGGGGTTGATAGTAAGAAATAAGGAGAAACCCTCTTGTCTTAGGGGTTGGATAAATGAGAGAGTAGGCCTTTGGGGTCAGAGAAGTAAGAAAGATAGCATAGAAATAGTTTTATGAATGTAGATAAAGTAGGAATTTTTGAAATTGGAAGGAAGCTAAGAAGAGGTGACTAATGAATATTCATATTGTTTGAGTAACCTTGATCTACTTCAGTAGAAAATGTTCTCATTATCATTTCCTTTATGGCATATTCTTTTAGTAATATGGGATGATTCTGACAAGGAATAATTTACAGGATAATGTATTTGTATTCCTAATCCCTTAATCAGTATGATTCAAGAGATTGGATAAATGAGAGCGAAAGATGTTTCACAAAAGCCCGTCTAGCTCAGTCGGTAGAGCGCAAGGCTCTTAACCTTGTGGTCGTGGGTTCGAGCCCCACGGTGGGCGAATRTATTATTTACCTAACCTTCAAAAKTTTTTTATTTTATTTTTGTCTCAAAGCCCTTGGCCCATTAAATTTCAAACTTGGGCCCAACGCTAATCATGAATGAGAGAATGACTCTGCATCTTTGATGCTTCTTGGGGGTATTTATTGTTTTGCCAAAGCATTGAGGCAATACGAAGGAGCCCAAAAATTTAGAAATAGAGCTGATCTTTAGTGCTCCATGGCCCATGGGAGTAGGGCTATCAATGGAGTTGTCCCTGGTCCGATAAGAAAATTCACAAACCCAGTTCTTCTGAGTCTTAATTATCAAGACCAAAATTAACCCTATAACAAATCGAGTTGGCAAGTTGTTTGGCTGGATTTGGCAGATTTACTTAAGACTGGGGATCAAATTTCACTGTCACCGGGTTTGGGGGAATGGGTATGTGGGTCAGGCCCCTTGTGTAGACCCATGAAAAAACAATTAGGCTAATTGGTAGGGATGATCAGCCCAACCTGGCCCAGCCCAGTAAGACCAACACCCTGTGCTGTTGGAAGTCTACTTGGGCATGACACATGGTTATCATGTTGTGGGGGTAAAAGAGTAATTTCCCTCAAATATTCGTTTGACAAAAAAGGCAAGCAGGGGACTGAATGGGTGGGGTTTTAAGTGTAGTGAGTGATGTTGAAGAAGCTCCCCAACAGCCAAAGATTTCTAAATATTTGTAGTGGTGATGGTGTGCAGATGGTCAGCTGATGTGCTGCTACAACGAATTAGACCAACTTCAAGATATTAGCTCTGCCAAAAAATAACTGTGGCCATGTTTGTTTGCATTGTAATTTTATTTGCTCTAGTGCAAAAACACAGGAGTGCAAATTTTGGTTTACTCCTGTTTAAAGCTCCTGAAAGGATGTTAACGGTAGTCCGTCTACTTCAAAGGGGACAAAAGACCTGTGATTGCAAAATTGCAACAAGTAATTTATTCAGCTGATGATCCAAAGAGTGACTTACACGGTTATATAAGACTCTCCCACTGAATCCATCAACATGCAAGCCCACTAATAGAAATGTTACATTTTGTTTCAGTGTAGATGAAGGCATGAAGCAAAATAAACTATACAAACATTTAAAGCAAAAGCTAACCGGAACTTGCACTCTTCTGATTTACATTTCATGCATTTGTATTAATGCAATTTCATTTACACTGCAAATAGAGTTCAACAATCAAGAAAGGCACTGAACATCATCTAGAGATCGGATATAGAAGTAGAAATTTGACACTTTAAATAAAGATATATTCAATTTCCAATTTTCCATAACAAGACCGCCCTCCCAAAATCCCGGATAGCTCAGCCTGGGACCAAAAATTAGGTAATGGCAAGTAAAACAACCAAAAACAAACTAGGGAAAATAAAACAGAAAAATCAAACATTTCTGGAGTAATCRAACTAAGCAAACCAAGCAGTTTAGATATAAATATCCTCKAAGCCATTTGATGATGTCTCCTTAAACAACCTATAGGCTATAGCGAGCCAAGGAGTCATTGCTTGGTGCACTCTAATGGTAAAAATAATATCTCATATTATAATGAGAACGGA